CAGGGACCAAGGGGGAAGCCACCAGGGCCAATGGGTGCTGATGGGCACCAGTGGGAGTCAATGGGTGCTGGTGGGCACCAGGGACCAAGGGGGAAACCACAGGGGCCAATGGGTGCTGATGGGCACCAGTGGGAGTCAATGGGTGCTGGTGGGCACCAGGGACCAAGGGGGAACCACCGGGGCCAATGGGTGCTGATGGGCACCAGTGGGAGTCAATGGGTGCTGGTGGGCACCAGGGACCAAGGGGGAACCACCAGGGCCAATGGGTGCTGATGGGCACCAGTGGGAGTCAATGGGTGCTGTGGACACCAGTGGGTGCCACTGGACTGCAGTGGGTATGATGGGCACTAGGGGTTGCAGTGGGTGCTGATGGGCACCAACGGGTGTCCCTGGGCACTGGTGGTGCCACCAGGCACTAGGGTGCACCAATGGGTACTGATGGACACCAGTGGGTGCTAATGGGTGCCAGTGGGTGCTGATGGGTGTCCTCAGACACCAATGAGCTCCAGTGGGTACTGAGGGGCACCGATGGGTGCTAGTGGGTGCTGATGGACACCAATGGGTGCCACCAGACACCAGTGTGCACCCATGAGTACTGATGGACACCAGTGGGTGCTGATGAACATCAGTGGGTGCCACCAGACATCAGTGTGCACCAATGGGTGCTGATGGGCACCAGTATGTGCCAATGGGTGCTGGTAGACACCAATGGGTACTGATGTGCCCCAATGGGTACTGGTGGGCACCAGTCTGTGCCAATGGGTCCTGATGTGCCCCAGTGGGCACCAGTCTGTGCCAATGGGTGCTGGTGGACACCAATGGGTGCTGATGTGCCCCAATGGGTACTGGTGGTCACCGGTCTGTGCCAAGGGGTGCTGGTGGACACCAGTGGGTGCTGATGTTCACCAATGGGTGCTGGTGGGCACCAGTGTGCCAATGGGTCCTGATGTGCCCCAGTGGGCACCAGTCTGTGCCAATGGGTGCTGGTGGACACCAACGGTTGCAGTGGGTGCTGATGTGCACCAATGAGTACTAGACTGTGCCAATGGGTGCTGATGTCCACCAATGGGTGCTGGTGGACACCAATGGGTGCTGATGTGGGTACTGGTGGACCCCAGCATGCCAACGGATGCTGGTGGCCACCAGTGAGGGCCAGCCCAAGCTGTCGATGGCACCGGCGGGTGCCAGCGGCGCTCACTCGTGCCCGTCTCCCTCCCGAGGAGCAGCACGGGCGGCACCATGACGCGGGCGTGCAACGTTTGCCACCACAGCTACTCGCCCCACGGCATGAGCTACATGCAGTGCCAGCACAGCGACAACGACGAGCGGGCGGCCGCCCTCA